CATGGCAGATTTTTTTTTTCTTTCTCTATCAATAGACTTTATTTGTTAGAGCTGTTTTAGGTTTATAGCAAAATTGAGCAAGAAGTACAGAGATTTCTCATGTGTTCACTGGGCTCACACACACACACACAGCTTGCCTCACTATCACCATCTCTTACCAGAATGGTACATTAATTACAATCAATGGACCTACATTGACATATTATCACCCAAATTTTATAGTTTATGTTAGGGTTCACTCTTAGTGTTGAACATACTATGGGTTTTGACAAATGTTTCATGACATATCTCCACTATTCTAGTGTCATATGTAATAGCCCTAAAAACTTCTGTGTTATGCCTATTCATTTTTTCCCTGTTTTTATGCTTAAACACCTTTCTGCTATCTGCTCTTCGAAATACAGATATATTTATTATTTTAAGCCAAGGATAGCTTGAATCTGCGCATGAATACTTTTTGAAAGGCTTTTGCTGCCTGCCAAAAATGGTTTCAGACCAGATGACTTAAAATAAAAACTGCTCCAAAGAACTGTTGTGTCCCTTATATAAAACATTTGGAATAATATGTTTACATTTTTAATAGATCTTTGAACTATTTTTGTTAAAGTCAGTGTACCCCTTTACATTTTCCAGTTAATTGCTGCATTAGCTTTCCCTGTTTACTTATATTAATAAAATGTTTTATAGAAACATTCCCCAAAGGTGAATAGATACTGTGAGTTGTGATTCATGTGACCTTTTGAAAATAGGTTTCTAAGGATAAATGTCTTATACTTGGACGCTTTCATATATTCTGTATTCAGAAGCTAAGGGGACATTGTGAATCAAGAGTGTCTTCAGCCTATTTTGCCAGGCATACGTCCGTCTCTGCAGCCTTTCTTTAGCATTCTAACCCCTGTAAACTTTCTCTAAACCTCTAAAGCAGTAGCAGTTTGTGCTTCTCAGTTTCATGCAAAAGACTGTTTTATATATTTCTTTATTATGCTCTGATGCATTAGTCTGATCTCTTAACAATATCATGAGCTGTTTTAAGGAAGGGATTGACTCTTACCCTTTCTTGGATTCACCTCAGAATTAAGCACAATTCAAGGTTCATGGTAGGCAGTTGATAAATTTGTAGTTTCTAGTAGCTTTGTTTCCCTTTCACCACTGGGACGTCTTTCTTTTCTTCCTCTCCCCTTTTCTTTAGCATCCTATTTTTTTCTTTTCTCTTTTTAAATTGCTGATTCATCCTTCATTCTTTTCTGTCCTCCTTTATTTTCTCTTTCCTTTCTTACCATTTACGAGCTTAGTGTCTAAGTATAAACATACTCATGATCTCACTAAGCTAAAATGCCAACTCTAATCATTATTTGGAATATTTTCCTTCAGTCATAGTTATAGGTTTGTGGAAACACATGAAATATTTACAGAATATAGTTCAAATATATGCTTTATATCTGTGTATAAATGTTATAGGTAAAAATAGTTTTTGACTTAAAAAATAGTAAAAAAACTATATATCACCTTGCTAAAATTAAGGCAAATGAGATTATGATGATGTTATTTGAGTTTCTTTTATAGTTGCTAAGTCTTAAGTAATGGAAATATTTTCATTATTCAAAGTTTGTGGGCCTAAGCTTCAAGGTGACTCTTAGGGTTCTGATATTAAGGTGCTAGCTAGATGTTTTTATATTGAAATAATAGATTGTGTTGACACAACTTTATAGCATTGATTGCTTCAAGGCTACTTGATATGCAAATATAAGTTTTTAATATAGCAATTGCTGAGTATTTAGACCATTTTCTAAGCATGGAAAAAATATTGAATTCAGAAGGGCCCCAAATATTAAAATGGAAATGTCTTCATGTGATAACATTTTATTACTTATATAATCTCTAGGCTGTAAAGGAACTTAAGTTTTGAATTAAGTGTTTCAACTTAGCTACTGGGTTTTTGAACTGTACATTTTCCAATACTACCCTTTAAATGTAATCTTCTTCAATTTTAGCAAGATGAGTATCATATGGTTCATCTAGTATGTACTTCTCGGACTCCTCCCGGTTCTCCAAAATCCAGCACCAATAGAGAAAGTCGTGAAGCATTGGCATCTAGCAGCAATTCTGTGAGTTGTTTTGGGAGGAGTAAATACTGAAGTTTTCTGATTATCCTTTTTTGCTTCTAAACACTAAATGAAAAACAGAGGAATTAGAACTTATGGGGTTTGAGATTGGGTTTTGAAAAACTGGAGTTTAGGCTTTTAAAATTTGTTTTTAGAAAACCTAATACACCGTTATCCCTTGAAACCTATTTACTATAAGTTATAATTTGCTATATGGCAAGTCAGTAATAAATTCAATCTTCAGGAGTTTAATTACTAGAATATTTAAGAAAACAGAACTGTGATAGGATTATATAATATAAATGCTCAGGCCAGTGAAGTTTCAGAAATATTTAAGGTGTCTAATATAAAATATTTTATTCAAGGTAGATGAAATTATTTACATTTTAAGTACCCTACATCGTCTTGATGTAGATTACTTGGTCAAAGATTTTGTTTTAAACAGTGAGTAGATTTGTGCATACATTCCAATTGCAGGGGGAAGAATTACTTAATGTACTCATATCTTTCAGAATTGGGTATTCATCTCTTCCTTCTTATTTTTCCATCTGCCTAAAACTGTTTTGGAAATATTTTGTAATAGGTGAACTTCTCAACTTAGACATTTCTACAAATTTTAAAGACATTTATCCCCAATCCTTTTATATTAAATTACTTATGATTTCCCATAAAAGCTTTATATGATACCTTTGGGGGTAAGAGGATTGGGATGAGTAGAAGCTTGCTTTAAACTTCTTGAGCAGGCAGGAAACTTTTATACTGCTAAGTATGCTTTCCTTCTTATCAAGAATCTAGGCTGGGCGCTATGGCTCACACCTGTAATCCCAGCATTTTGGGAGGCCAAGGCAGGAGGATTGCTTGAGGCCAGGAGTTCTAGACCAGTGGGGGCAACACAGTGAGACCCCATCTCTACAAAAAATTTAGAAAACAAAATTAACTGGTTGTGGTGGCATGGACCTATGGTCCTAGCTACTTGGGAGGCTGACATAGGAGGATCTCCTTTGAGCCCAGGACTTTGAGGTTCAGTGAGCTATGATAATACCATTGCACTTCAGCCTGGAAAAAAAAGAATCTAGCCAAAACTTAAAGAGAGGGGACAAGTGGTGAGTGGCAGGGTGATAACTGTTGAAAGATCTTCCAGTAGATACTAGCTAACTGCTTCTTTAAGAAACTAGATCCTCCAGTTGCTATATTTAATTAGTATGGTCTCAATGGTAAGTATTTTCTAGTACCAGCCATGGAAATTTAGCTTACATTAAACTGAAATTTTCTTTGTCAGAACACCCAAGGGTTTTTGTATGGTTCCTGTATTGGCATGAGAAGGGAAAACACTGGATTGGCAGAGTTTTGTTGGTAATCTTTGGACATAGTTTCATTGCTCTGGTTTTTGTTGGGAAATAACCCTCTGATTTATTGACTTGGGTTGCTCAGCCATGATTTTATGTCATTAATATACATACTTGCTTTTTTCAGTATGTGAAAAATATCCTCTTGATAGGATTACATATGAAAATTAAAAAGTATCAAAGGAAAGTTAAATTGAACTCCTCTTAATTTTTCATGGCTCAGACATTTCAGCGGGATTTCAAAATGTCTTAAAGATCTAATCATGAAAAATTATCTAATAAGGTCAGAAATCATTAGTTCTAGAGACTTTAAATTGTGCTGCCAAATGACTAGTTAGGCCTTTCTTCTATTAATCATGTTAATGAACACCGTATTATGATGGCCCATTTAATGAGAAATCTTGCCAAAAAAGAAGCCATTTCCAGTTTATGTCCCTAAGAATCAAACTGCGTAGTAAGATATTTCTTATCTATTTTGTGTGAAGTAACATCTTAAAGAAAGTTTTCGCTAGTTTTGCAAAAGACCAGTGTGCTTGGGACCTTGCACATGGCAGGACTTAGGATGGTAGACGTGCAAAAGGACATCCTGTCAGTAGGAAGGCAGTACAAGTAAAACACAAGTTTAACAAACTTGGAAGGATGTTAAAATAATATCATACTCAGCTTTTTAAAGTGGAAGAAGTATTAATATAATTTATATAACATAATTGTGTATTAAATTTAGATAAAACACTTGTCAAACTATTAATATTTTCAAAGAGCAACAAATTGGGATGGTCTTCAAGGAGTTACATTGTTTAAAGTCATTGAATCTGTTAGTTACTGACATCATTTGATCATGAGAATTTAAAAATCCTGATTGGTATCTGGTTCATTTTGTAAAAAAACAGTATTTGTTGATGGCATCTGTAAATCAGTTGAATTTTAGAACTGAATGGAATCTTGAAAATCTAGTCTAATTTTATTTTACTCCTTGTTAATGTCAGAGGTAACAATAGATTCTAGATCTTTTGTTACCCAGCCTGTTCCTCATTATTTTAAACCAGTGTGTTACTGATAGCGTGTTATACAGTATTTGGCACATAGTAACTATTTAAATAATTCAGTAATTAGTACCATTTATTGAGCACTTTCTGTGTGTTAGGCATAATGAAAGAAGCTTTGCATGCATTAACTTAATTGTGTAAAAGGAGCTTTTATGCATTGATTTAATCCTCGCAATTTAATATGCTATTTTGTATAGTATTCCTCTGCTTCTCAGCCTTTTCCAGTTGAGAAGTGGAATACTGTTGGTTAATTAAGCAGTTTTGACTTTCTGAACTCTTTTGTCTTAGCAAAATTAAAATATAATTAAAATTATAAATAAAAATTAAAATATAATATAATAAAATATAATACCTATTATACTGGACATAAGATTTAAATCAATAAATTTCTAAAATTCAGTTATTTTGCAGAGGGATTTCGTGAATACATTTTTAGTAATATGTTTATAATTTCACAATTATAATTAATTAAATCTCCTTAAAAATTATTACATTTTTGTTTGTAGAGTTCAGATCATTCAGGATCAACAACTCCGTCATCCAGTCAAGAAACCTTGTCTTTAGCTGCTAGCTCTTCCTCAGAAGGATTGAGGCAGCGTACCCCTTCACAAGCACAAACCAACCCCGCACAGAGTCATCAGTTTCCATATGTAATGCAAGGGTAAGTGAAATTGTGGTAGCTGTGGATCATAATTGGGGCTTCCTAAAAATGAATTACTTTTGATTTTCACTGTAGCCCCTTTGCAGTAATTAAAGTACATTTGAAGTTTATTCATATACCTGATTTTATATTTTGGAACTAGAGGGTTAAGGAGAGCAGTGCTTTTGGAAGCTGGCTGTACATCAGAATCATGTAGGGCAGTGCTTTTGAATCTTTGATGTTTCTGCTAATCACCTGGGGATCTTGCTAAGATGCAGGTTCTATTCAGTAGGTCTGATGGGGCCTGAAATATTGCATTTCTAACAAGCTCCCGGGTGATGCTGATGCTTCTGATGCTTGGACCACACTTGGGATAGCAAGGATTAGGTAACTAAATTTTTTTTCTTAACTGAGTTTCACCGTAAATCTACTCAATTTAGTCTTCAGGGGAGTGGGTGGTACTTAGAAAAATATAGGGCCCAGCAATCTGTTTTTAAAAAGTTTCGCCGGTGTTTCTGATCAGCCAGGCTTGGTAACAACTGAGGTAGAGTAAAACCACAGTGTATTTACAAGGATATGCTAACCATTGCATGTTATCCAGAATCTTTGTTGTATTGAGAGTTCTGTGTAGGAGTTTTCTCAAGAAGCTTTCTATGGTCACTCTATATAGCAATTACAACAGTCTCCTTAGGTTATGTAATTCCAAAGGAAATGCAGCCAACAGCTATAGGTAAAGCACATCTTTTTGGCAGCTCAGAGAAGGATTTTGGAGAATCCCAGGGTTTGGACCTGTATTGTGTATGAAAGCAGAGTAATTTACTGGGGTACTATTATTTGTTAGTTTTGAAGGAAAGGAAACTTGAGTAACAGGTAGTGATAATTTTTCTGTGCTGTCTATCAAGTCATGGGACTCCAGTGTGTGGAACCAGTCTGGATCCACAATGATGGGCCTGGAAATGAGAAAATGATGAGGACTCCATTATCATACTGTAGGTGATGTAATCAAGGAGTAGCCATTGACTGCTATGCTTAACAGGGTAACATAAACATTCAGGTACTTTTTATTTAGAACTTTTAACTTAATTCAGTTCTTAATATAGAACAACAAAGCTGAATATGTAGCAAAATATAAGAAAACTCATTTGTCTCATATTTCCTGAATGTGAAATCTTTTCTCTCAAAATAAGTGTTTAGATGAGGTTTGTTGTAGACTTTTATAAGTACTTATAAAGTACCTGTGAAACTGTTCTTGTTTTCAGAAAATGATTCCTGTACACCAAAACTTATTTATAAAAAGCATTATGGAATAGTAGCTCAAAATACTTTCTATCTTATGACAGTGATTCATTTCCTTTCTTTTTTGCAGAGTAAGACACTTCAGTTCTTCCCAATTTATACAGAGTGATTTTATTTATTTGGTGGTAGTGGTGGAAGGTGGGAGTGTTATAAATAAGCTTGAGAGAATATGCAGTGACATGTTAACAGTGGTTATCTCTGGATGATAAGATTTTTAACTCTTTCTCATACTTATAGTAAATATATTTTGTAATAAACTAAACAAAGCTTATAAGATGGCAGGTCTTCAGAATAAAACCATAGATATTTGGGAAACAATTAATAATTTCTCTAAAGTAGGCTGTTGAGGAAATCAATAAACATGAAAGACAAAGGCATCCAGCTCTTAGAAGTATATTAAACAGATTAGAAAATCTGAAATAGTGTTTTTCTTGCCAGAAGTGAGTGTTAAAGTGGTGAGCAAGAAAACCTTTCAAAGATACTTGACCTTCACTTAGGGAATCTATTGCTAGATTCAAAATACTTGATTTTAAATCGAGAGGGCAGTGTATTTTAGTGATTGCACAGATTGTGGAGCCAGCCTGCCTGCGTTTGAATCCTGGCTAAGGTCTATTCACTGACTAGCTTGGGCAAGTCTCTTCCCTCCTGTGCTTCAGTTTGCTCATTATCTGGGGAGTAATAGTATTTATCTTATAGAATTTCTGTGTGGATTAAAAGAGTGTATGTAAAGTGGTTAAAACAGTAACTGGCACATGGCAATGTATTAGCAATTACTTATAAATACATCTGTCCTTATAAGTGCATGTTGTACATTCATTTAGCAAACAAATTTATAGGCATCTGTGTGTCTCATACACTGAAACATTCAAATGAATGAATGCCAGTGTTAGGAAAATAAATCTTTATATTTGGAGAAAGTACTATGTGATTTATAAAACAATTGATGTGAAATTCAATAAATAGGCTTTTACTTCAGCAGTGAACGTGATTTAACTTAATCTCATGGTTGTCATTTTTTACTAATGAAGACTTTATGTAAACTTTATTTAACATAGTCTTAGCCTTAAATGTGTTAAGAGAGGTAATTTAGTGATCTTGAAGAACTCACCATCAAAATAAAAAAAGCTCTACTCTCCTTTTTCAAACTTTAGAGCAGTTTATATTTAACTAGTCTGTGTGTGTTTTCTACCATATAGGTTAGTATTCTCAGTTTTTAGTGAGCTTGTTAAAACTGCTAATTTCTGGTCCCTGCTCCCTGAGGTTTTGAATCGCCAGTATTGGAGTGGTGCTCAGGAATCTGCCAGCCTAACAATACCTGGGAAGCTCACATTGAGAAATTCTAATGCAAGTGATTATCTGCCTACCTAGCTCTTGAGAAAACCTGAGAGGAGCAGAGCAATACATGTACGTCACCACATTGGCTGTCCATTCACAAAGTCACATTTGTAAGTCCTGACTGCTTTTGGACTCAGTTGTGCTGTCACGTTTATTTACTTTAACTCCAAAAATTGCTGGTTGGTTTATGGAATACCCAGTTTTGTACCATCAGTTTTTCCCTCTGAAATATCAACAGCCTAATTTTATAATAAAACTGAAAACCTACTCATTGTACCCTTCTAGAGTGTCTGATTTTTTTTTAAGTAAAAATTGCTTGTAGCCTACTACTCAGAAATAATCATTACTAACATTTTTATAAATATCCTTCCAAACACTTTTCTATGTATATTTTTAAAATAAAACTATATTATTCTATTTTTTTAAAACTTTTTGTAAAACATAGCTTGGATATATTTCTAGAGCAAATGTAAATCTATAATATTTAAGGTCTTCGTGAGTTTTCATTATGTAGATATACTAATTTGTTCATACTTATGTTGATGGAGAATGTATTGGTTGGTTTTGCTGCATAATAACCTCAAAATCTCAGTGGTTTGCAATAGCACACTTTATTTTTCTTGCCCACAAATTTGTTAGTTACCTGGGATAGCTCTGCTTCAGGCTGTAGGCTGGGTTCAGGTCTGTTTCATGTTTCTCATTCTCTGTGGATCCATAATTCCCTAGCACCTGTTCTTATGGCAAATGACAGGAACACAAGAGGGCAGGCTAACCACTGAGCACATTTAAAGCCTTGTACATGTCACATTTACTAATATTGCATTGGCCAAAGCAGCCCACATGGCTACTCTGAACAACATAGAGATAGGGAGGTATTGCAGAGTTATAACTAGTGCTGTATTGGTAAATTTTTAACAGCTGACATTTCTGGAAAAAAAAATAAAACCCTGGATTTGTAGCATTTCCTGATTTCTGTGGTGTAAGTACTCCCACCGTGGCTCAGCAATTTGCTCTGGTAAGCAGCAGAAACTAGGTTGGCCCACTGTGTGGCAGAGAGTGTGTATGTATCTTGTTGCAGAAGAGTGAAGAATTGGAACAATCTTCTACCATAACTTTTCTGTTAATTTTTTCCCCACTAAACATCACCACAATCAACATTGTTAAATGTGCTTATGTATTAGCAGTTATTATTTTAGGATAAATTGCTAGAAGGGGGATTTCTGAGTCAAAGTGTTCTTAAGACTTTTTGAGGCTCTTAAAGACTATTGCAAAATTGCAGTAAAGAAAAGTTGTACTAGAGTACTCTCAGAATCTTTAAAGAGCCTGATTTCCCATAACTGTACAACACATGAACTTGCCAGTGTGATAAATTGGAATGTCGTTGTTTTAATTTGAGACATGATTAAGAAGCATTCTTTTTGTTTTTTGAGTTGCTTATTTGTTGGTGTGTTGGTATCTTTAAAAATTCATTTGTGATAGTTCTTTATCTGAAAGGATATTGATAATGCTTATTAAGCATTATCGCAAGCGAGGCATTGTATTAAACACTTAAACATGTCTTACTTCATTAAATTTTACGCAAACTCTGTGATCTAGATACTGTTTTCTCTTATTTTATGGATGAAGAGAATGAGGCTTAAAGGTTATGTAGCTTGCTGAAGTTTGCAGAAGTGGTCAGTAGCAAGACTAGAATTCAAATCCATATCTAACTTGGAAGTCTGTATTCTTAATAGCATTGCTGAAGGGACTCTATTTTTGTCTGTCATTTGTTTGTTTGTCTGTTTCTTTTTTTTTTGAGACAGAGTCTCGCTCTGTTGCCCTGGCTAGAGTACTGTGGCATTATCATGGCTCACAGCAACCTCAAACTCCTGGGTTCAAGTGATCCTCCTGCCTCAGCCTCCTGGGTAGCTGGGACTACAGGCATGTGCCACTATACCTGACTAAATTTTTTCTATTTTTAGTAGAGATGGGGTCTTGCTCTTGCTCAGGCTGGTCTCAAATTCCTTACCTCAAGCAGTCCTCCTGCCTCAGCCTCCCAGAGCGTTAGGATTACAGGTGTGAGCCACCACTCCCAGCCAAACACTTTTACACTCATTTATTCTCAGAACCCAATGTGATCCCTATTTTGTCATAGGACAGTTGGAACCCAGAGAGGGAAAGAAACTGGTCTAAGATCACAGAGCTGGGATGTGGCCGAGTCAGGATTTGAACCTGGGCCTAGGGACTCCTGGGCCTGGCTACTTAGCCGCTAAGCCACAGTGTCACTTCCTCATGTGTTTCAATATTTTTTCTAGGTTATCATTTGTATTTTGACTTCATTTATAATGGTGGTCCCCACCCCTCAACCCCCATTCAAAACTTTTTTCTAGTCATAGCTAATGGTCAGGTTT